CTATGTCCCTAATCTGTGTAAATCCTCTAGCAACAAGACGCGCTTTGTACCTTACTTGACCATTAGCATCAAGGTTTTGCTTAAAAATCCATTTTGTGTCAATAGGATTCCTCCCTCTTGGTAAATTGGCAGGTTCGTACACATTTAACCTTTCCATGTTTTTCAGCTCTTCATCTGTAGCCTCTAACCATTTTTCCTTTCTTCCCTTGTGGCAAACTTTCTATTTCCTCAAAACTTTGAGGCTCATAATTAACTAAACATACTCTCACATTTTGTATTGTGAACCTGTCAGGTTTCTTTCTGGTTCTCTCACTTCTTCTGAGTAAAATTTCCTGACTAGTTCCTTCCCCAGGATCTTCATTCACCTCATCATCCTCATCTGAGAGCCTAGACCTCTTAAATTTTCTAATTATAGGCTTACTTATGAGTTGAGGTGTAGCAGCACTTTCCTGCACTGTGTTTTGTCTACCTTGCTCACGAGTTTCCTCTTTCGAAATAGGAAAGAAAACTTCCTGATTAGCATGAATCTTATCCCAATTCTGGCTACAGGCAAAATTAGCAGATCTTGATATAACAATGCTTCCTTCATTATCTAAAAATCGCCAAGCTTTGGCTCCCTGTGCATAGCCAACCATTGTTAATTTCCTGGCTTTGTCTTGGCCTTTCCTTCTTAATGGTTTGGGGATGAACACCCATGCCTGTGTTCCAAAAGTCCTTAAATGCCCTAATGGAGGCTTCTTGCCATATAACATAAAATAAGGGGTGTTCTGAATAGGCTCACATCAGAGTCTATTAATTAAATAACATGCAGTCATTACTGCTTCTCCCCATAGATTTTGGGATAATCCAGAATCTTCTAACAAAGAATCTTTCACTGTTTGCACTTTTCTTACAAACCTTTCTATCTTTCCATTTTCTGCACTTTGATAAGCACATGTGAGTCTGTGCTTTATCCCCTCTTGCTTCAGAAAATTTTCTAAACTATGTGAGGTAAACTCTCCTCCTCTGTCAGTTTGGAGAGCCTTTACTCCTACTCCAAATTGTCTCTTCACATATGCCACCCAATTCTTAATAATATCAAAAACGTCACTCTTTTGTTTTAACAAAAAACACCAAGAAAAACAAGAATAGTCATCTAATAAACACAGTATATAACAGGCTCCACCCTTACTCGGTTGAAATGGTCCAACTAAATCAGCATGTACCAACTGAAACTTTTCCTCTGAGTTTCTCAAACTTTTACTAACTGGAGCTGACTGTGTTTTAGTTTTCTTGCATACATTGCAATCTAGAAACTTCTTGCAATCTTTTAATTTTATGCCTTCACTAAACTCTGGCATTTTATACAACACTTTGAAACTTGGGTGACCTAATGCTCTATGTAAATCATGAATACATTCCTGGTGTAATGGAGCATTCTTACTTATTACATTTACTTCACTTCACTTGTGTTATCTCCTGAGGTCAACACATACAAACCCCCCTGTAATACACCAGTTCCACATAACTTATTCCCTTTCAAAATCCTGACTTTTCCTCCAGAAAAATTAACTTCATAACCTTCTTTATCCAGTTTTCCAACTGATAATAAATTATAATAAATCTCTGGAACTAAAAATACATTCCTTAATGTTTTACCCAAATGCTTAACATAAACTTCCCCTTGCCCCTGTATTTTGTACTGTTTTCCATCTTCAAGGGTAACATTTGAACATTTAGGATTCACAGGGTTACAAATTAAACTTTTGTTGTTCACTATATGCTGTGAACATCCAGAGTCCACATAAAATATGTCTTCAACTGCTGGACTCCCCTGGGACTTCACAATTCTTACATACGAGGAACTCCTCCTCTGGTTCACCTTCTTCCCTCCTTGCTTCTTCTGCTGCTTTGGGCAATTCCTCTTTAAATGGTTTGGAGACCCACAATTGAAGCATCTTCTCACCACACAAACTTTCTCCGTCTCCTCCTCGAGTGCAACTCCGGCTGACTGCTTTCCTTGAGAATGCCCTGCTGTGTTTGCAGTCTCCAGGAATTGATCTCTTTGCCTTTCCCAATCAGCAAGAAGTCTGGCACAAATATATTGGAGATTTAATGGTGCTTGGGGGAGTGATTCTAAGGAATTTACTATCCCATCAAACGAATCATCCATGGATGACAGGACAATAAAACATTTGTTCGGCTCTGTGAGATGAAAGTCTCTCTCCTCCAGTTGCAAAAACAAACTCTGCAATATCTGCAAATGGTCTTTCAGACTTTCATTCTTCTCCAGTCTTTTCCTGTAAAGTCGCCTTGCCAGCACAGCCACTGTTGCTGCAGTACAGCCACTGTTGCTGCCGAACTAGAAGCATATACTTCTCTGAGTCTCACCCAAATTGCATTGGGAGTTGGCAGGCTGCTTATATGAACCAATTGTTCATCGTCAACTCCTAACATCAGAGTAGACCTTGCTCTTTCCAGAGCTCTCAGCTGCTCTGCTGTAGCTGGCTGCTGCACTGGGTTCTCTGTACATTCCCACAAGGATTCTCTCCTCAAATAACTTTCCATTCTGACTTTCCAAATGGAATAGTTATTGCCATTTAACCTGGCCATAGGGAAAGCAAAATTCATTCCAGTATCCATCTTCTTGTTTTGCCAACAAAAACACAATGCAAAACCAAAATGTCTTCAAAACTGGAACTGGAGAAAAAAATATCCAACTGGGCAATCTGGTCAGACTGGGCAAACTGGGCAAGCTGGGCAGACTGGGCCCATAACCTGTTGCGGTTTGTTAGTTTATATTGAAAATACACAGCAGTCTTCCCAGCTCCAGGCCCCAAGTTGAAGTACACAGAGTATAAAAGAAAAATGTCTTTACTCTTGAGTAGTCAGCACATGTATTTTATAAAGAAAAAATACAGTAGCCTTGAAAACACATTGTCCACATTGTCCATTGCAGAAGGAAAAAAACACTTACAAAATAATGCATTAATCTGCTTCTTTCCAGCAAACCTTGTAGCATAGTTCCATCTCTAATTACTTCATTTCACCCACTACCTGCATCAAGAAAACCTCACCTGATATACATCCTAATCAGGGAGTGGTTCTTCCTCAACACACACATATAAGCAAGAGATGATTCTTGTCAAGACTTACAAAATCATATACTGTAACACAGCTCAGACTGTGGCCTATGGGACCTCTTTATTGTATTGAAACCACTGTTTGCTTCCTATGGTTTCAGAAGGTAGGAGTGAACACTTGGCTTATGCAGTTTATATGGAGAATGGAAGGACTCACAACTCCCATCTCCTCTTGTTCCTTGCACAATACTACAAACAAGGAAAGGTTCTTTGGTTCTGCTTCTCACCCTCCTTGATCCAATTCATCCCAACTGATTCCCAACAGTAGCAAATGCCCAAACATAAAGAAAGACTCAAAGACACTGCTGATGTATCTCCATGTGGATTCAGACACTTTACCGTGTCTTCTTGAGGACAAGGAGTCACTCCACAATGTGCCACTGCATTAGTCCAGTCTTCCTCATAATTTTATGTAGAAGGAAGAAAGCGGAAGCAGTATATATACTTGTGTAAAAGTTGAGAAATGCTGGCCAAAATGCATTCCAAAGAACCTGAATCTGTGGTGGATTGTTCCTTATGCCATCCCAAACATACAACCTTCTCTGAGCACATTGACAAAAGGTGAGTGCTTAGTCCAGCGGTGTCAAACTCATTTTCACCAAGGGCCACATCAGCCTTACAGATGCCTTCAAAAGGTCAATTGTAATGGTAAGACGATATAAATGGATCCGAATGGATTCCTGACGGCTCTTGGGGAAATTCCCGCTGCCTCGGTTGGTGATCCTGTCGATGCCCTGGTGGCTCTCTGGAATGGGGAGATGACCAGGGCAATAGACACGATCGCTCCGGAACGTCCCCTCTCAAGTAGCCGAGCTAAACCAGCTCCTTGGTTCACCGAGGAGCTGGCAGCAATGAAGCGAAAAAAGAGGAGACTAGAGCGTGTGTGGCGTTCGGACCCGAGCGAGTCAAACCGAGCACGGTTTGTTGCCCTATTAAGGGCATATGCCGTGGCAATAAAGGCGGCAAAGAAATCTTTCTTTGCGGCCAATATTGCGTCCGCAAAGAACCGTCCGGCCGAGCTGTTCCGAGTTGTCAGAGGCCTGTTGAAGCCCACCACTTTGGATGGGAGCCCTGACAACTCGACAGCCCGCTGTGAAGCATTTGCTCGGTTCTTCGCGGACAAAGTCGCTTCGATCCGTTCAGGTCTGGATACCATGTTAACGGCAGTCTCTGAGGATGTGACGAGAACATCTGTCTGTCCGGTTTTGATGGATTCGTTTCAATTTGTGAAACCTGAGGATGTGGACGAGGTGCTTGGAGGGATGAGAGCAACCACATGCATCCTAGACCCCTGCCCATCCTGGCTTCTAAAGGAGGCCAGAGGGGGATTGGCCGAGTGGGTGAAGGTGGTGGTTAATGCCTCCCTTCGGGAAGGCAAAATTCCAGCCAGCTTAAAGCAAGCTGTTATAAAACCGCTGTTGAAGAAACCATCACTGGACCCCACTCAATTCGTCAACTATCGGCCTGTTTCCAATCTCCCCTTTTTGGGCAAAGTCCTGGAACGTGTGGTGGCCTCACAACTCCAAGCATTCTTGGTAGACACTGATTATCTGGATCCGGCACAGTCTGGCTTTAGGCCGGGGCATGGTACCGAGACAGCCTTGGTCGCCTTAGTGGATGATCTCCGGCGTGAACTTGACAGGGGGAGTGTGTCCCTGTTGGTTCTGCTGGACCTCTCAGCGGCCTTCGATACCGTCGACCACGGTATCCTTCTGGGACGCCTTGCGGGAATGGGCCTGGGAGGCACTGTTTTACAGTGGCTCAGGTCCTTCCTAGAGGATCGTACCCAGAAGGTGTTGCTGGGGGACACCTGCTCGTCCTCACAACCATTGTCTTGTGGGGTTCCGCAGGGCTCAATATTGTCCCCCATGTTATTTAACATCTACATGAAGCCGTTGGGAGAGATCATCCGGAGTTTCGGGGTGAGGTGTTATCTGTACGCAGATGACGTCCAGCTCTGTCACTCCTTTCCACCTATTACTAAGGAGGCTGTCCAGGTCCTGAACCGGTGCTTGGCTGCTGTGTCGGACTGGATGAGGGTGAACAAATTGAAACTCAATCCAGACAAGACAGAGGTACTCCTGGTCAGTCGGAAGGCCGAACAGGGTATAGGGTTACAGCCTGTGTTGGACGGGGTCGCACTCCCCCTGAAGACGCAGGTTCGCAGCTTGGGTGTGACTCTGGATTCTTCGCTAAGCTTGGAACCCCAAGTTTCAGCGGTTTCCAGAGGAGCATTTGCACAGCTTCGGCTCGTGCGCCAGCTGCGCCCGTATCTTGGGAGGTCGGACTTGGCTACGGTAGTCCACGCTCTTGTCACATCCCGTATAGACTACTGCAACGCGCTCTACGTGGGGTTGCCCTTGAAGACTGCCCGGAAGCTTCAGATGGTCCAGCGCTCGGCAGCCAGGTTGCTAACGGGAGCGGCTCTCAGGGAGCACACCACCCCCCTGTTGAACCAGCTCCACTGGCTGCCAATTCGCTACCGGGCACAATTTAAGGTGCTGGCTTTAGCCTATAAAGCCCTACACGGTTCCGGCCCCACTTACCTCTCCGAACGCATCTCCTCCTACGAACCGGGAAGAGCGTTAAGATCTTCCGGGGAGGCCCTGCTCTCGGTTCCGCCGGCGTCACAAGTGCGGCTGGCGGGCACGAGAGACAGGGCCTTCTCGGTGGTGGCCCCTCGGCTATGGAATGCGTTACCGGTGGACATCAGGCAGGCCCCTTCGTTACTGGTGTTTCGGAGGAGGGTGAAGACGTGGCTCTACGAGCAGGCTTTCGGCAACTAACTCAATAATGACGGCATCGGACAAGGAATGGAAAAAGGATCTTGAGATCGGAATCTGATTCTAAGTGTGGCGTTGATGATTATGTGTTTGTCTGTATTGTGTGTCTCATACATTGTTTAGTGTTGCTTTTTATTGTAAACCGCATTGAGTCGCCGCCTCAGGCTGATATATGCGGTATACAAATAGAGTAAATAAATAAATAAATAAATAAATAAATAAATAAATGGAACTATTTTACTCTGGCATTAAGAGACTCGCAGGCCACATAAAATAATGGACCAGGTCAGATTCAGCCCACAAATCTTTCGTTTGACATGTGTGGCTTAGTCCATCACAAGAAAACCTAAAAGAATCACTGACCATGTGTATTCTCTCAGCACTCTCCTGAGGGAAAGTGTCAAATTGCTGCCACTGCCATTTTTTGCCCAGGCATTCAAAAAGACCAGAGTTGGCATTGCGGAGGAGAAAGTGGACAGGGTCAGTGCTTCGTTCAGATTTTCATTGACCAGATGAAGCTCTTGTCAATCCACTCAGAGAAATGGATGCTTCCTTTTTTAATAAGAATTAATACTGTATCTTAACTTCAATTAAAAAGGAAACTTTGAGTAGAATGGCAAAAGGTATTTTTGAATATCTGGATGGAAACATGGTGGTGGCCAGGAGCTACTTGCCCCATGGTGGTATTGGCACTTTCCTCTATCTTGTTTATAACTTGGGGACTGCCTGTATATGGTAGTTAATTCTATTTTTTACTGAAAGGTATATTGCTCTGACAAGTAACTAAATAATTAGGAGTTTGAATAAGCATAAAAATAATGCAAGAAGACAGAGACTTCTCTGAGCCCAAGAGTACTTCCAGATGGGTCTTTCACTGCACAGTAACCTTGCTACATTCACAGAACTTTAGAGGGAGTCCAGATGTTACTGTCACTATTTTTCTTTCCATAAGAATAGAATAGCTGTTTGATTGGTAGCATCATCTGGATGCACACTAAGATAGGAGACCTTCAGTTCTATGTTTTGTTTTGGAGTTTTTGGTAGTGTGAAAGCTTTATCTTGCATTCCAGACAGGAAACTGGGATACTAAATTAAATGTTTTGTCATATGGGAAACTGCCTGCTCCTTACATTATGGTAATCCTCACAAACAAATATGTGCAACTCTGGAAAAAAGAGATGTTTTAATGAGTTTAAACCAGGCGACAAACACAAAAACAGGTGTTATTTCCAATTGAAAAAACAAACAAACTTGTCTCCAGGTTAAAAGAAATATTGCACACAAAATGCCCCTGTTGATGCCTCCAGTCACTGGGAAAGAGCCCACTAAAATGTCACCCAAAAAGATAACGTTTCTCTTACCTGGAGAAAGGATGCAGATGGCCATCAGGAGCACATGCTCTTCCTCATGCAGGTTGAGTTTCTTCAAGCTGATCTGGAACTTAACAAGAGGCTCAAGCAGATCTAGGCTGTGTCCAGCTGAAACAAAAACAGAGCAACCTTTAAAAGAGACAGCACTAGATTTTGGAAGGTTTGCAAGTTGGCTGGAAAACAGAGCAAAAATAAAAATAAACTGATCTGGAAATCAATGGCTCATTCAACAAAAGGACAGCATTCATCCTGCCAAGAGATCTCTGAAATTGTTGAGCTAGTCTGCTTCTTGGGCCCCTTCCACACAGTAAAATCCCACATTATCTGCTTTGAACTGGAATATATATCAGTATGGACTCAGATAACCCAGTTCTAAGCAGATACTGTGGGGCTTTCTGCCTTGATAATCTGGGATATAGGGCTGGGCTGTATGGAAGGGGCCTTGTTCTCAAGTCTCTCTTCCCCTTTCTACATTGCCTCACAGTTCACAAGGGCTCCCAAGGTAATGAACAAATAAAAGCAATCAAAACGGTACAAATATATATTTTTAAAAACTAAAAACAACAAAACATCCTTTAAAAATAATTTAAAAACAATCCTAAAATACACATTTTAAAACAGACCAATTCAAACAGAGCAGGTTGTGTGGAGCAGCAGTGTTTTGGATGCCTGCTGGAACCTCAAAAGAGAAGGAGCCAACCTCAAATATTTTGGAAGGGAGTTACACCTTTGGGGTGCTAGTGTTAACCATCTAAATGAGTTGGGATAAATATGAGGACTTCCTCTGAGGATCTCAGTCCCTTTCCACACAGATGTATAAAATCCCACATCATCTGCTTTGAACTGGGTTATATGGCAGTGTGGACCCAGGGCCCTTCCATACAGACATATATCCCAGAATATCAAGGCAGAAAATCCCACAATATATGCCTCAAACTGGGTTATCTGAGTCCACACTGCCATATATTCCAGTTCAAAGCAGAAAATGTGGGATTTTATTTTGCTGTTTTACTTTCTATGGTTGGAAGGGGGCCCAGTCCAAAGCAGATATTGTGGATTATCTGCCTTGATATTCTGGATTATATGGCTGTGTGGAAGGGCCATCACACTTTGGGCAGGCTCAAAAAAGGAGAAGGCAGTCTTTCATATATCCTGGCCACAAGTTGTTATAGTTTTATTGGTCAAAAACTGCACCTTGAATTGAGTTCAGAAGCATACTGGAAGCCAGTGCGGTTCTTTTAAGACCAGTTTTATGTTGCCTTTAAAATGCACACGGGACACTAATCTGGCCTCTGCATCTTGCACTCTCTGAAGCTTCCAAATACTTTTCAAGGGTTGCCCCACAGAGTTCATTATAATATTCTAATGTAAACATAATAGCTACTTTATTAACGATCTAAGATTGTCTGCACATGTCTTCCCTCTTCAAAATTTCTATCCCAGTTACATGTCACCTTGCCATTTTATTTATTTCGGGTATTTCTACCCCGCCCTTCTCAACCCCGGGGGGGGGGGGGGGGGGGCTCAGGGCGGCTTACAGAGGCACAATTTGATGCCGGCATCAACATAAACAATAAAAAAATGAATAACAACAATTAAACAATTAAAACATCAATTAAAACATCACATCAATGCCCAGCATTATTTTTAAAAAATATTTAATTATTACAATTGGCCCAGCCATAGGTTTTTAAACACGTCGTGTTATTGTTAATGTTTATTGCTTTTTTTTGCTTATGAGTTTATTTATTGTTTTGTATTATTGTTGTTATTGTTTATTGTTGTATTGTGGGCTTGGCCTCATGTAAGCCACACCGAGTCCCTTGGGGAGATGGTAGCGGGGTACAAATAAAGATTATTATTATTATTATTATTATTATTATTATTATTATTATTATTATTATTATTGAAATGGTCTAAAGTCACCTACATTCTATTAAAACTGAATAGGGTTTTGGCATTTTTCAGTTTCTTTGAGTTGTAACTATTATACTGCAGATCAAGTTACATAATTGTTGTTTTTTCCAGATTTTCATCTCTATCCTGGTTTTTGATTCATTTTACTTTCTATGGTTGGAAAGTAGAGAAGGTGGACTTAGCAGGAATGGTAATATGGACGACGAAACTGGATCACGATTTTAGTCATGAGATGCATTGGGTTGTTATTGTTGTGTCAGTATTGTGTGTTATGCCTTTATGGTTTTAAATTGTGTATCGTTGACTGTTGTACCTTTGTTGTAAACCGCGTTGAGTCGCCTGTTAGGCTGAGAAACTGCGATATACAAGTAAAGTAAAGTAAAGTAAATAAATAAATAAATAAATAATAGCAGTTTAAGCAGTGGATCCAGGTCCCAATTTAGGACATCATCAGCTTTTTGAACCATATACAACCCTCTATATCAAACAAAGGACCGGAGGCGGATGCGGCCCTCCAAGGTCATTTACCTGGTCCTTGCTCAGGGTCAACCTAAGTCTGAAACAACTTGAAAGCACACAACAACAACAACAATCCTATCTCATCAGCAAAAAGCAGGTCCACACTTCCCACTGAAATACTAATAAGTTTATATTTGGTAAAATTGTTCTTCATTTTAATTATCATATTGTTTTTAAGTGATTTTTGCAGTACAAATAAAATATGTGCAGTGTGCAAAGAAATTAATTCATTTTTTTTTCAAGTTATACTCCAGCCCTCCAACAGTTTGAGGGACTGTGACCTGGCCCTCTGTTTAAAAAGTTTGTGGACCCCTGCTCTATATCATCCACAACTGAAAGTACCATACCTTGTGTGACATCATTGATGTTGTATTTGAAGTCATTGTTGCCGCAGGTCCAAGACATATCCTCCAGTGAGAATGACTGATTTGATCGGAGCATAATGACTTCAATGGCACTGGATTTCAACAAAGCAATCTGGTCCTCTGCTGTTAGATCTCTACATTGGGGAAGAGAAAGTTGTATCTTGAGTTCTCGATTCATCCATCATTATGATACTTCATGTGGCGAGGCTTTAAAACTCATGACCATGTGCTTCACCTAGGATTGACACTGGCCCAAACATATTTTGGTGCCTCAAATATTAGACCGGTTTCTGGGTATATTTAGCCCGCTGATTTCAAAAATGGTACCAGTTTCCCCTATCGGTTCTAGTTTCTGAGATACAGAAGACATGCCATCTGCTAGTTTTCATCTGCTCACCCATAGAGAACCATGATAACCATATCTAAGAAACTAGAACTGACGTGGTCTATCAAATGCAATTTCCTGAATCAGTGCCCCAAATAACCCCAGAAACAGGCCCAAAAACCAAGACACAAATAACATTTTTGTTGGGCTATAAAGGTGTTTCCATGCTGAATGATTCTGGACTTCTTCATTCTCCCCTACATTCATATATTCAGCCATCACACATTGGTGTTATCTACTTAGCCCCCTGGAGATTAGTTTTCAATAAACTCAGAACTACTTACTATAGGCACACTGCTACGACTATAGGTTGATACACACACTTATGTCTATAATGTATTAATTTTAATCCCATGTCATTCCTTATATATGTGAATAAGCCACCACACAAACAATTCTAAGGTTAATTCAAGTCCAACACTTTCAGGGTAGGCAATCTGATACATTACTGAGAACCACTGAGTGCTCAGTTATCTATGTACAATCAACAAGCTTTAACTTTGAACCCCATTATCATCACAAAATCTTTATATGGTTTAAGTGGAAGTCCAAGGAATGTGTGGAGTGCTTAGGTTCAAACGATGCATAAACACAACTCTTGGTGCACAGCCAAATGGGGAAAGCCTTATTCATATTAGCCTCATCGCTGAATTACCACTTGACAGTTCCATTAATACTCAGTTTCTGATGGGATTTGTTAAATAAACCATGCAGATGGATAAAACGGGCAAGTGGCAGAGGCAATAATTACATTACTGTTTTGGCTTACAGTCTGACTGAAGGATTTGTTTCAGTTTATGTCAGGCTGTAGCGATAGGTTGGGAGAATGGCTGTCTCTTCTCTTTCTGTAAAATCTGAATAACCGTGACTACTGAATAACTGTGACCTACTGCCGTCAGGATAAATATAATGCAACTGCATTATTTCTTAGGGTAAATGTTTCTATTTAAAATTTATTACTAATAATTAATTAAAAATTGAAAACTATATACAGACAGTCCCTGATTTACAAGCATCTGACTTATAAATGACTCACAGTAAAGAACGGATGTGTGTGTGTGTGTGTGTGTGTGTGTGACAACAGGAAGTGAGAGAAATCTACTCCTTGGAAGGGGAATAACTCCTGGAAGAGTTATCATGTGGAAAAGGTGTCTACACTGAAGCTTTATCACCAATTCTTGGTTCCATGACTAGCCACATTTTTCAAAATCCAATTGTGACAGGGATAGAAAGTGAGGTGAAATCTTCTGAACAGCAGCAGAGATAGCAAAAGAAACACCATAGAGGTGTTAACCCTTCACTATGTTATCCAAAGCTAAAAGATACATATATTTGGCTGGAATTAAACTTAAAAATGTACCTGTTCCAACTTACATACAAATTCAACATAAGAACAAACTTTGTTTGTAACTTGGGAACTGCCTATGTATACCCATATAAAAGTTGACCTCATGTATAGGTTGAGGGCAAATTTTGGAGCCAATATGGATTTTATATGATCCACGGATAAGTCCAAGTTCATTAAATGGAGAGGGGAAAGCACCAGTCAACATCAAGTTTTCAGTATAAGCCTAGTTTTTCAGCCCTTTTTTTAGGTTGAAAAAGTTCCCCTCGGCTTATACTTGGGTGAGGGTCCTGGCGGGAAGATGTGGGGCTGAAAAAGGAGCTTCTTTCAGTTCCACGCTTTCCTGCCAGGACCCTCACCTCTCTGCACAGCAACCCAGGTCTCCTTCCTCTCCTGCACGTTGCGCTTCCTCTCTCGGTGCAGCATGCACCTTCCTCTCCTCCTCTCTTGGCACTAGTCTTTCCCACTTTTCCTTATTCATATATCCACAGCATTTCCCTAAAATGTATAGTTAAAATAAACTATAATGATTATTGGAAGGATATGTAAGTACATTTACATTGAAGAAGGTTAGAATAATGATTTAATCAGAGTTGGGCAGCCTTATCTTAAATTAGAGTTTTATGTAAATACCTTTTATTAGTATCTATTTTCATTTTGAAATTTACCAGAAGCTGCTGCATTTCCCACCCTTGGCTTATACTCGAGTCAATACGTTTTCCCAGTTTTTGTGATAATATTAGGTGCCTTGGCTTATACGAGGTATTCAGATCAGCTTATACTCGGGTATTTATGGTAGTTTGGTACAATTTCTGTTTTTTAAACAGAGGAGAGAGAGGGGGAGGGGAGGGGAGAAAGAGTGTTCTTCTGAAGCAAAATCCTTTCTTACTTGAATCCTGGAATCATTTTTGCAAATCCAATCACTTTCTGGATGCTGTAACTAACAAGGTCAGCCAGGTGAGGCAGCATGGAGAGGTGTGATAAATCAATGGACATGGATGCACTTTCATCGCTGTCATCACTTAGTTCCAGATTTGAGAACATCTTTGGTTCTATGAGGGAGAGGAAAACACACAATTTAGACTTCTTATGTAAGCCTTTACAAAGTAACTTCCTCAAACCCTGTAAAGATAAGTCAAAACAAACAAGCCTGTTCAAAAAAGTGTATTAAAGAGACTTCATGTTTACCAGACTGCAACATTGCTGCTTAAATCTCTCTTGTCATTTATATTGGCTAGTCTGGCTTTAGCTTTATGTCCAGCATGCTACAAGGAAATGCACAGGATTGTAGAAACACAAGGCTGCTAAGTGATAATACAGTTACAAGGGGAGGCCTCCACTCATGAGGCTGTTTCCAGTGGCAGCTCTGTGTCTTCCACAAAGTGTAGCTCTGCTTCTTTTTAGCACAAGTTCCAGGAAGTTCAGATCAGCCTGAAACCATCAAAATAAAGCAATCCAGGAAGAGAACATTGAGCTACAAGATAGGAGTGCCTCCGCAAGTCCTATAAAGACCATATTTATTGATCAAGATTCCCACAGGGCTTTTCCACACTCCCACAGGGTTTTTTGTACAAATTTTTTTGGTATAAATGCTATTTGTGTTTTTTGTATGTTACCTGGGGAAGAAGAGCTGAAGGTATCCAAGGAGTCTTCTGAAGAGGAGAAACCTTGGGTCATAATAGAGGAAGATCTACTTTTCATTCTACGACCTCTGACTGGAGGCTGAAACATAAGGATATATGAATTATTTAGTTTATTTTTCCTATTAGGTCTGAGTGCCTCCCACTCTTAAGTTCAATGTGTATCCCAATACGTTGAACTGTGCATCCATGGGAACTTCTTGCTGAGAGGCAAAGGATGGCTCAAGAATATCTGGAGATTTTACCAATAAGATCAGTCAAAATTGGCTCAGATTAGCACAAAGTACTTTTGCAAACCTTTGCTTCTGTTTTCCTTTCTGGTACTTCTTTGCTCCATTTCTATTACTTTTTGCCAATTTGGTCAGCACTATAGACTATTTTCTAGAATAATAAAGTGCTCCCAAAGCAAAACATTTCTGACATAGCGATGCCTTAACACCCTTACCTCCAGAGAAGTACATAAAACACCAATCTAAGGAAAGACACTGAAAGCCAGAGGACCACAGGAAAATATATTTTAAGTTCTGAGAGTCATTTGTATATACACATTGAAATTTCCTGGTTGCAAGCGAGAGTCCAAAAGTGGCAGGCTCAAACCCAGAACCTCAATGAATGGCTGATACCAAATGAGAGATCCCCCCCCCCCCCGGGCACACAGAAAACTGGGCAACTTGGAAGGAAATGAACAGACTGCGCTCTGGCACCACAAGATACATGGCCAACCTCAAGAAATGGGGCTACAAAGTGGAATCCACGACATGCGAGTGTGGAGAAGAACAAACCACAGACCACCTGCTGCAATGCACCCTGAGCCCTGCCACATGCACAATGGAGGACCTTCTTGCTGCAACACCAGAGGCACTCCAAGTGGCCAGATACTGGTCAAAGGACATTTAATCAACTACCAAGCTTGCAAACTCTGTTTTGTCTGTTTGTTAATTTTTTTTAAAAAAATGTAATACAATTGTCTGGTTGATACTGACACGATAAATAAATATTGAAATTTCCATCCAAGGTAGATAAGGGACATTCATTTCAGCACATTTTTTTTAGGCTTTGGGTGGCATTAGGAGCTGTATGGTGTTCTGAAGGTTCTCATTCCACAGTGGAAACTAGACTAGTGTTGCTCAGAAAAGTAAACCAGTAGAGAAGAATAAAGGATTGGTGAAAGAGAATCAAGTACCATTTCCCCAAAGTGAATGATAATAATAATAATAATAATAATAATAATAATAATAATAATAATAATGGTGTGTCCTGTTGTCAGTCAGGCATTGCCAAATTACTTTTCCTCCACTTCTGCTCTTGACACATCCCACCCTTCTTCCTCGCTCTTGCATGCGTCACTCAACCCCACAGCTGAGCTCCAGTTCCTCTACTGTTTCCCTGGTTGCTACAAGACAGGAAACACTTGTGGTTGCCTCAGCCACAAGTACTTTCTCCCCCTTACCACACCTCTTTCCACAGAACTGAAGAAGACAACTGTTCAGAGATCTGAGGGCCTCTGAAGAGGGTGGAAAGAGCAGGTGGATACATGGGGCCGTTCTGTTATCTCTATTGTCCACAGAAATCTTTGACTTCAGAATTATGCAGTCATCTTCCTATATTTGCTGCTTAAGCTTTTGCGGATCTGAATTATTTGAGAATTATATTATTGCAGTGGTTCTCAACTTGTGGGTCTCCAGATTTTTTGGCCTTCAACTCCCAGAAATCCTAACAGTTGGGGACCCACAGGATGAGAACCACTGTATTAATGGATCCCACCTCTGCTCCCTCTGCCTACAGGTTCAACTGGAAGATCTAAAAATGCCTAAATAGCAAGCCTGTATCTCCATTTTCATGGGGATCTTGATCCTGAACTACCACAAAAAATAGGGCTGACTGCACTTTCAAAAGGAGGGGTTCCGTTGCCACGAGACCTTTATTCTACAAAAAAGGTTTCTGATAATGTATTTCAACAGATGGGCTGTTCTTGGATCCTATTAACTCAATGAACATGGGGACATTGGCTTGGCCTTCAGACATTTTCTTACTGCTGGGTGCATACAACAGTTTAAACCCCCTTTATGGCCAAAGGAGAGTAGACAGTTTTGCCAGAATCTGCTTCTCAAAAAGCATTAAAAATAGCAATAGCTGCTTGTTCACTAAGTTTACCACCAGATGTCCTCCTACTCACATCTGTAATGAGTAAGAAGGACAGTGGCTTACCCGAAATTGGTTGAAATCAGAGTAAGTGGGATCATAGGTTTTTTTATGGGCTTCAAGAAGTATATCAATGATCCGCTGTTGCTCCTCCAGCAGTTTGGGCTTTAAGCTCTCTTTCAGGGCTTCCTCCTCCTTTCTTTTCATAATCATCTCTCTTTTCCTCTGGACCTCTTCATCTGTCAGAATAACTGTTAACATATGGGGAGACAGAATAGATAACAGTTAGTTTAAACTGTCAGAATTAATTAGAGCAAGACATACAAAACAAACAAACTTCAAAAGCTGCAGTTTGTAATGGCATGAAATGATTATCACTGTACTCTAAAGGCAGGAGAAACACTGCTTTTCTATGAATGAACTCCTAGTTAGTAGTTAGGCTTTAGTCTGTGTGAATTTCAGATAAGGTTAATTGCTTACAATTGGTATTCATGTGAATGTCATGTGATACACATTTAAAGAGATGGTTCCATGTTCCTGTTCTGGACATGAAGCCATTTCCCCCCTCTTAACTATAGATGACCCAGTCAGGTCCAGCACAAATGACTGCAACTCACTTGTAATGATAACAAAACAGAAAGCCAATTGTATTTTTCTGTTGGTCATGGGGGTTCTATGTGGGAAGTTTGGCCCAATTCTATCGTTGGTGGGGTTCAAAATGCTCTCTGATTGTAGGTGAAATATAAAGCCTAGCCACTACAACTCCCTACTGTCAAGGTCTATTTTCCCCAAATTCCACCAGTGTTCACATTTGGGCATATTGAGTATCCATGCCAAGTTTGGTCCAGATCTATCACTGTCTATCATTGTTTGAGTTCACAATGCTCTCTGGATGTAGGTGATCTACAACTCCAAAACTCAAGGTCAATGTTTATTTATTTATTTATTTACAGTATTTATATTCCGCCCTTCTCACCCCGCAGGGGACTCAATGCCCACCAAACCCTTCCAGTGTTTTCCGTTGGTCATGGGAGTTCTGTGTGCCAAATTTGGTTCAATTCCATCATTTGTGGAGTTCAGACTGCTCTCTGATTGTAGGTTAACTATAAATCCCAAGTACATTAACTATAAACCCGCAACTACAACTCCCAAATGAGAAAACCACCCCCCCCCCCCCCCCGCAAACCCCACCAGTATTCAAATTTGGGCATATTGGGTATTTGTGCCAAATTTGGTCCAGTGAATGAAAATACATCCTGCATATCAGATATCTACATTAGAATTCATAGCAGTAGCAAAATTGGGTTGTTGTAGGTTTTTTCGGGCTATATGGCCATGTTCTAGAGGCATTCTTTCCTGATGTTTCGCCTGCATCTATGGCAAGCATCCTCAGAGGTAGTGACCTCACTCACCTCACTACCTCTGAGGATGCTTGCCATGGGTGCAGGCGAAACGTCAGGAGAGAATGCCTCTAGAACATGGCCATACAGCCCGAAAAAACCTACAACAACCCAGTGATTCTGGCCATGAAAGCCTTCGACAATACATAGTAGCAAAATTACAGTTATGAAGAAGCGACAAAAATAATTTAATGGTTGGGGGTCACCACAACATGAGAAATTGTGTATTAAGGGGTCACCGCTGAGAACCACTGATTTAGAATGACTACAGATGTGCTGTTGTCACATTGGTATTGTAGCATCAGGACCTGGTTTCTAAGGGCAATTTGGTACTAGAATGCCTTGTGGAAAATTCAGAAATGACAGTATGAAATATGTTGGTGTTTGACAAGTAAACAACTACACAAGAGAGTCTCACAGCAGGGAATGTCATGAGACAGTTCTGGCAGAAGTGTTCCCACAAGGTTGCGCAAAGAGGGGCTGCTGCGCAGATGTCTATACAGATGTCTTGCATTAAGACACTGCTAGGCATACCTTTGGCCAGCACAGACAAAAGCAGTAACCAGAAAATTAAAACAAAAATAACAGTAAACATAATATATCACTAATATGCATGTAGATCAAGCCAGAGAAATACAGGAAAAGGCTGGGATATGTCACTCTTTTGGACTACATCTCACAGAAACTCCCAGCCAGACTAACCATTTTCCAAGGAATTCCATTAAATCATAATTATAATGTGACCATCACACATGTTATTTTGTTTTGGATAGTTAATTCATCTCTCATGAAGTGGAGTAGCCCATGAACAATCAAAAATGGAAGAACGGAAACAAAGAGAGGAATAATATCCTCAAAAGTGCTAGCAATAGAAATTATACCTCTACATGTTTCAGATCATTAGGAACCTTCTTGTGACATAAATGTTCAAAATTCTAAATATACTGGCTCCCGATTATGCAAAAAAGATATAAAGTATGTCTATAAAATGTTTACAGTCTGTTTAAGAACTCAGAAATTGTGTATTTGTATCACAGCTAAAGAATACTCCATGTAATGAATTCACTGAACATGTAGGCTAGAGGATTTGGGGCGTTGCCGCAATGCTCCCAAAGTATGGTGCATGATGGCACAGAAATGAACTCCTACATGTCCAAAGCATTTGGCTACAATATTTCTCATTTTGGTACTTTTGAGGAGTAGCACTCAGATATTACTTCATAATCCCTCCCTCCCCCAAATATGGAAAATAATGAGCCTAATTTACATCCAAAGACAAAATCGACAGCGTGGCAGGAACCCACATAGGAAAATAAATAAATAAAAGACGTCCTGGACTTGGAACTTTGGAAACTGGAGTTCATATCTGAACTCTACCATTAGTAGCCTTGAGCAATCATTTTATGTACAAGGAAATGGGGGTGAAATGACCTACAACACAGATGTGATGAACAATGAGATAAAGATTATAAAGCACCCTGCATGCTAAAAAAAAAAAAAAAAGTCAGAAAGGTCATTAACAGTCAGAGGGGAAAAAAAGATACGGCATGTGTGGGATTGAATGGCGTTTGGCAGCCAGCTTGCTCCTATGCTTACTGCAATTTTATCTTAGGAGGCAATTAATTGTCGAGAAAGAATCTGTACTGCTCCTCTGAGTAGTGAAAAAAACTAACGAACTGCAACCTATAAGCTGCTATGAGGATGACCATAACACTGTTTGGATTATCAGGCTGTTTCCAAACATGATGATACAGAATTGACAGCATCCTGGCTGACATGATTTTTCGTAAAGCGTTGGAGATCTCCATCATGAGAAAGAGAAACCAATAGGGTCTCCCGATGTCTACTATTCCCTTTACTGTTAGAAATGCTAGTTGCTAGAGAACACAAATATGAGTGTATTATATTTATCATGTCCTTTGATGGGGTCGCTTATTGTCATTGGCCTGGCTTGAGAACAAAACCCCAGACTCGGGAAACTTCAGGTCCCAAGGAATAAAATCTCCCAATTAATTAAAAACAAAACAAAACACCAAGACATTTGAAGCTTAGGTGAAGTTCATATTATAACATCTGGGGCCAGACTTTTGCAACTTGGGGAGCAGAGCTGAGTAAGGTTGGTGGGAGAAGAGCACTTTAAGCATTTATGTCCAGCTGGTAAATTCCATAAAAACCAATCCCTTTCCTCGTTCCAAAATTAATGGATTATTATTATTATTATTATTATTATTATTATTATTATTATTTGATACACCAAAGAGATAGATTAGTACACAGCAATCAAGATCACTACTACTTCTCTTCCTGCTTCTCCTCCTCCTTCCCCATTTTTTCTCTCCACTAGGAGACTCACAGAAGCACACATAGAAGGCATGATGCAGGAATATTACTAAATCCTATTTTAAAATTCCTAAGGCTGTGAGTAGCAGCAAAGTGTACAAACACAGGTTGATTACCTGAACTAACTGTAGTTCTTCTTCAAGATCTCTATGAATTCACAACATTGGGATTAACTACACTGGCGCAGTTAATCCCAATTGTGTGATTTATAGAGACCACAAAGAAGAACCTCCCTCTTTCATCAAGCCCTTATTCAACCCCATTTTCAAACAATCTTGCCTTAATTCTCCTCTTGGATTTATTGCACCACAGCAAAAAGTCCAGTAAAACTCTAGATCTGAGACCAGTGTATCTCACAAATTGCTCTAAGAAGGACAATTCAAGAGAAAGGGCAGTGTGTGAAAGGGCAGGAGACTCATCTTGTTTTAGAGAGCTGTGATACGTGTGAATTTATTTCATAGAAGACTCTAAAGATTTGCCCATGTGCTGGTCAGCAGGTTGTTTACCAAAGAGATAGGATTTCTGTTTCTCTGACTCAGAGGTATTCATTATGGGGAACTTGCATAATGCTGTCGTGTGCACACAGCACTGTGTCTGAACGAAGTGAAACAGAAGCTGAGAAATAGGTGCCACACCCGATGTGCCACGGCACCCATAAAACATTCCGTATTCACTGAATTCCCATTAAATCCAAGCACTAAACACAAGCACTTAACTGCACACCTAGTAAAAGTCTAGATCTGTTACATGCTTAAATCACTACTCTGATTTTTTTTAAAGAAACAGGCATAGAGTTTACCAAAGTAAATAAAATAAATAAATGTGTGCAATTTTTATAAAACCTGTAAAAGAGAAATTCTTTGATCAGGTAGTTAGCTTGTTGTCTTATTTGTACATCTAAAATGTGTCGCTAGGTTTGTGGTTACTTCCATGCCTGCTTCTCCTCCAATAACATATTCTCTACTCTATTTTCCTACCCCAGTTGATTATATTTCTTTACCTTATTTATAACCCGCCTTTCTCAACCCCGAAGAAGAATCAAGGCAGCTTACATATAGGCAATTGTTCAATGCCTTAAAGCAACATACAATTCCAATAAACATTAAAATTAAAATTAATGCATATTTAAAAACATTACATTCAGTATTAAAAGCACACCGTCCATAATCCAGGGTTGTTCCAATAGTTACTGCACATATTCTATATATATTATTGCATTACAACTATTCTCTGAATGCTTGATTCTAAAACCAGGTTTTCACTTTCCTTCAGAAGGTCAGGAAGAAGGGGGCTGATCTAATGTCAGTGGGGAGGGAGTTACACAGCTGAGAGGCCACCACTGAGAAGGCCCTGTGTCTCGTCCCCACCAGCTGCGCTTGCGAAGAAGGCAAGATCGAGAGCAGGGCCTCCCCGACAATCTTAATCCCCAAGGTAATTCATAGAGGGAGATATGTTCAGACAGGTAAGCTGGGCCAGAACCGTTTAGGGCTTTATAGGCTAAAGCCAGCACT